CAACCCTAGGCAGAAACTGATGGCGCAGAGCCGCGTCGTTTTCCACTGAGTGTCTCCGCTCCAGCGCCTAAATTTGGAGGCGTAATCTGCTGCCCCGGCGACCCTGCTGTAAGGTATGTAGAGCTGCCTCAGCCGAAGCAGCAACGGAGGTCAGGTGTGGATGGCGAGCTTCCATCAGATGGTGTGCCTAGCCCTGGGGTTCACCCTGCAGCAGGGATATGATGAACCCTACCTTCACAGACTCTGAAAAGAACGTCCGCGGTTGCAGGTCAAAATATAGCTGACAGGAGTTCTGGAAGGCTATGAACTTCCCTCGATCCCCATTGAAACTCTCCGGTGTTGGAATACGAGGTTCCGGTGGGGGTATGGTGACCATTGCTCTGGCGGGGGTTTCAGTAGGTCCCTGAGCTGGGGTCGAGGTTCCCGAGCCTGCCGGCGGAGTTGCTGGCAGGGAGAGGGTCTGAATGCGTCCCTCTAGATGCGTATAACCCTCTTGAAGAGTCTTGACAGCTTGGGTGAGCGCCGCCAGGTGCTAGCATATGTCGTCCAGCGGAGAGGGGCCTCTTCAAGGCTCAGTCTTGGCTGTATGGTTCTGTTATGTACCGCCCTGCAGTATCTCTAGTGAACCACAGAACAGGATTCCCCAGGGCGCGGAGTCTAAGCCCCAGTCTGCTTATTCACCAGAGCCCCTGATGGTGGGGATGGACTTGGAGCAGAACTGAGACCAGGTCACTTTGGCCAACCACTAGAAGGTTTCTTACTAGTGGTACATGCTGCGGAAGGGTATAGATAATCTGGGGAACCTTCAAGAAGTTTGTTCATTTGTTCTCTGACCTCCAAGGCCAATTGCTTAAAGGGGCACTTTGTTGGAGAAGAAAGGTATGAGTTCAGGCCAGAGTAAAACTGTAACCTGGATAGGATCACCAAGGAGAACCTTTGCTGGAAGAAAGTCTTGAGTAGCTAGATCCGAGTTTGAACATGACAGGAAGCCTGGTGGCTCGTTCAGAGAGTTTGCAGTTGCTCTGCTCTGCAGTCAGTCAGACAGTGCTGGTCTAACTTAAAGGTCCTTTCCTGTATTGACTGTAAGCAGGTTTCGGAGCTTATGTGTCAGGAAGCGAGGAGCCAGACACACAAGGAAGTGCAATTAAAGGTAGGTTTATTAATATAAAAATAAGACAATAGTCTATGCAAGTCCAACAGCGGAAATCGTAGCCAAAGCTGGGATCAAGAGCCAGGAAGAAACGTCGCCAGAGCCGGGATCAGGAGCCAGGAAGAATCGTCACCAGAGCCGGGATCAGGAGCCAGGAAGAATCGTCACCAGAGCCGGGATCAGGAGCCAGGAAGAATGGTCGCCAGAGCCGGGTTCAGAAGCCAGGAGCAGTCTTAGCCAAAGCCGAGTCGGTATCCACGAAAGCAATGAGTAGCTAAACAGGAGCTTGTTGCTGTGCAAGAGACAGGACACGAATGCAATGGACAGCTACAAACAGCAGACTTATATGTGATAAGCCGCCACCTCCTGAGGGAGGAGCCGCAGAGGGCTGAAAGTATAAAGGATCCCACAATGCTTTGCAGACACCTTAGATGGATGCCAGCACATGGAGCAGCACAAGCCCTGAGGAAAGGTAGGACCTTGACAGTAAGGTACTTTTGGATGACCTGTGTGCAACCTGTGCACTAATCCGCCTCTGTCAGGGTTCTTCAGATTTAATAAACTCTATTAATCCTTCCAAAGCGACTGGAGGCCAATCCTTCATACCTCATAACAAGTCAAGGATCCAACGCTGAGGTGAAAATTCAGCCCACCAAACCACTGGGAGTCCCCAACCACCTTCAAGGGGTGCTACACTTTTGAGCTGCTAAAGATGTTTTCAGTCGACAAACAATGAACTGGCCACCCAAATATGATTTTATTTATTTATTTATAATAACAAAGGTACAAATGTTTTCAGCAGATGGAACAGCTTAATTGGTGTTGCTTATACATTGTAGAAATATATGTTTATGTAAATTCTGAGCCATCAGTAAGTCCAATTAAATCTTTGGCGCCTATAAAACTGGGTAACAGCTGTCGATGAAAAATTCAGAACATCCTTTTTCTGTTTGTCTGCTGACTGTTTAGAAAGCCCAACCCCATTTGCAGGACTTGTTTTTTAAGCTCTATTTCAGCATTGCTGCAATATAAAATGACTAGCATTCCATTCACCAGCTTGCCACCCACATAGGAATAACTTAGCCTGTCCCCTAGCCCACGATATTTAAATCCATGTTTTAGCAGGAAGGCTACTTTTAGGAATACATGATACACGCATGCCAAGAGCCACATAACAACAAGAAATTACAATAAATTCTTTACTGGGACTCAGTCTCTTTGCCAGCCCTCTGACCAGCTCTGTCAGCTATAGCTCAGCAGGAAAGAACTCTGGGACATGCCAGGTACATTATGGGGCCCTAATTGGTTAATCACATAGGTCTTGAAAGACCCCAATGCTGGCCATACACTTCAAAATTCAATAGCCTGAGTTATGAATTTTATTATCTCCTTGGTCATACACTAGAAGGTTTTTTTACTAGTGGTACATGCTGGGAAAAGGGTATATATATTTGGGGGAACCTTCCGGAAGCTCTCTTGTCTGCACATTTGTTCTCTGACCTCTAAGGCCCACTACCTGGGGAGGACATGTGCTTGGAGGAGAAAGGTCTGAGTTCAGGGCCTGTTAGCTTGCAGTGCCTTGCTGGAGGGTCTATTCAGGAAGAGTGAAGCTGGAACCTGAAGAGGAGCCTGGCAGGTAGGCCACTTCTGCGGTTTGGGAATACGTGATATACTCAAGAGTCACATGAAAATAAGAAAATACAATATATTCTTTAACCAGACTTGGTCTTCTTGCCTACCCTTTGACTGGCTCCATCAGCTAGGTTAGCTATACATGTGAGAGTTGGCTAGCAGGAATGGACTCTAGGACACATCAGGTATGTACTGGGTCCTTCATTGATTTATCACTTAGGCCTTGCATTTTTGGATGTGCAAGTGTGGAAGTGCCCTCATGCTGGCCATACATTGGGCAGTTTTCAGGAAATTTCAACCAGCTTTTAGGTAGGTGCAGGTTGCCATATATCAGGCAACCTGAAGGTGGCATTGAGCCATTCCTTCAGGTTGGTAGGGGTTCAATAAGGAGGAAATGTCTTCTATCTTTGGCTCATCTTCAGGAGGATCGTGATAAAGGGTGGACTGACAACTCATGGGGCCCCCGGGCAATAGAGGATCATGGGGCCCCTGTGTCTTTGCCCAAACTCAAATAAGCCTATGAAAAAGGTACCAGTGGCATCTCATGGGGCCCCTTACTGACCCTGGGCCCTCAGGCAGTGCTCGAGTTCTCAAATGGTCAAGGATGTGCCTGTGCATCAAAAATGAAGCTTGGAGAGCAGAGTCAGATGTAGCAGGTGAAAGGGGCAGTAATGCATTTCGGAGCATGCTCAATAGGCTCCTTCTTCAGCTGAACTTGTACATCTGACTCTGCTCTCCAAGCTTCATTTTTAATGCACAGGCACATCCTGGACTCTACTTCCTGATCCTATAGGCATAGCTTGCTGCTGGACGGCTGGATGTCCCACCTGGATCCAATTACCACACGATGAGTCTTTTTAACCGTTTATCTTGTAAGTGCAAATTTTCCATTGTCTACTAATAAATTGTTAATACTGCACTTAGAGGCGCCTTCCTCTCTTTTTCTGGTTATCTTAATGTAGAATCCTATAAATATAAGGCTCTGATGTCATTTGGCGTGCCCAAAGTGAGGCAATAAGCAGGGTAAGAGCTCCACTGTATGAGGGCAATGCAGGTTAGGAAGATTAGGGAGAGGTTCCAGAGGAGAAAGGACATTTAGGTTTCCTTCCCAGGTTGTTCACACTACACTGATCCTGTTCATATTGCCTTGGGCCGTTATATGCTGCAGCCACCTGGTGGAACCTAGTAACCATTTGTAAGAGGGGTTTTGTGGTCAACTAGTTTTGGTGCCCAAACACAGGGCCCTACCCCCACTTCAGCCCTGCTAAAACACAATTTCTCCTGCTGAAGCTGACCCCTCGTGTGCCCTGCTCTTTGCCGTAGGCCTCACCGTGACATCCCCAGCCTTAGACCTTTATATCCGAAGATGGAATGTCCACACAATAAAAAACATCACTGCACTTTACTGGCGGTATTCAGGGAATGGCAAGACAGTCCTCATCATAAGGGCAAGACAGTCCCATCATAAGGTCGTACTATCCAGAGTCACTTGACATACATAGTCAATCACAAAAAGTGGACAATCTGCAGTAGTCTCCGGTGAGAGCATGTGCAAGGCCTTTTGCAATCCGTTCTAGTGCCCACCTCCTTCAGGGACAGAATGTCTACAGTCAGCTCCTCCTGCATACAGGTCCACTCCACCCAGCCTTCTGCCCTGTCCAGAGCCCATGTTTGTAGATTACATTCTCACAGATTTGGGGTGTATGGATCCCATGCCCCAAATCTGCTGTATCCCCTCCCAACTTAGCTTATATGTGGATGCTGACTCACCCCTGACATCACTTGTGGGGGGGTGGCTCTACCTAAGTGGGACCTAACACCTTGTGTCACTACCTGCTGTACCAGACTCTATTATGGGACAGAGCCATCTAAAGGCAAAGTGGCTAAGTGCACCTGCCTGCACGTTACCTCATTTTTACCCTTCCTATGAAGTACTCCTCTGGAATGATGGAATTGTAGAGGAACTTATATCAATATCTCCTTACCAGTATTCTGCAGCTTCTGTGATGCCAAGACTAGAATTGAATGTTGTGTCTTATAGTTGACTATTGAGATTGTTAATTTCTTCATCATAAAAGAAGCAGTGCTAAGCCACCCAGTCTTGTGGTTCTTCCAAAGGGCTGGTACACCATGTAGGCCCTGCCTACAAGCTCCTGATCTGAAAGGCCCAAGGCAACCTACTACCAGCAGCTTCTAATGAACCTATAAAGCAAGCAATATTGTTAGTGGTAGATTGACTTGATCACTTTGGCCATTGTTGCTACTGTAGCTCGCCCCCAAAAAAAGAGTTGCTATAAATCTGGATGGTTCTTTATTTTTCCTTCCTCTCATTTTCCTTCACATGCTGCAGGAAACTGTCTCTACTTTTTGAGTGGCGGATGTGCTCTACACAGACATTGATTCCTTTGGCAGGAATCTAACCTTTGACTTGTTTGTTCACAATTATACCAACAACATGCTGGGTGACATTGTAGATCCAACCAGTCTTGCCATGGTAGCACTTTTGCAGCATATCTTTTTGGATTGCGCATGTACCCTTAATGTCCACAATATCACCCTTCTTGTAGATGCGCATATAGGCTGACACTGGCACAGGACCATCTTTGTGGAAGGGTCTGGAGAACATATAATGGGTTCCTCACCTTTTGCCCCTTGTGTTCATCATCTTTCACTAACAATTGCCCTCTATGGGAGCCCGAGCTCTCATGCGGCTGATGGTTCTTTACTTAGTGTACAGGCAGCTAGGCACACAGCACATTCACTCATGGGCTCATTAAGAAGCCTATGGGGATGTCTTTGTGTGCTTTTATTGCTGTAGAAACTTGGGTGGGGTGGAAGGAGAACATGAAATACCCCAGGGACACTGAAGAACAAGAGGACACTTCTCTCTCTCTCCTAAACAATCTCTGGACACAAAGACATGAGATGCAGCTGAAGCCAAGTCTCTGTTACACCTCCACAAACTGAACTGTTACTAGGGCCTTAAGATAAGGACAGGAACTGCACACAGTCACTAAAGCCCTGGGTTAGGTCAGTGCTCACAATGCCACAGGATCACCAGTTGTCTCCTTCCGATGTCCTCTGGGAACTCTTCAGTGAGGGAGAAACAACACAATGCCCCAGGACAGCATGAACCTCTCCTCCAACTTCCACCAGGTACTCTTCAGAAAGCTCTCCAGACCAAAATACCAGACCAGACTTTGAAGCAGACCCCCCAGCTATGCTGCAGCTGGAACCTCAATAACCCTCAAGCCGTATTTTAGTTAACTACCCTTAGGAGCAGGGGACTCCTCCTGCTGTACTCGACCCAGGACTAGCAACCCCATGCTCCAAGCCTCAGACTATTTTTGGGCTCCCCAGCCACCTACTGGGCACACCTCCCCAGGAATTGGTTGGGTCCCCATAAAAATTCAGACCACCCTTCTGCCCTTCCTCCCATTGTGATTCCAGTACTCTATAGAATGCAGGGGGAAATAATCTGACCAGCCGATGCTGAATTACTGACCACGCTAAAGCAATCAGCAACTGCTTGTCAGGGCTGGGCTCCTGCTATTTAATGCGCAGCTCTTTTCTTTCAGTGCTCAGAAGTTGCTCAGCTGTCAGTTCATTACCAGCCACTGATCTCCATAGTGAGTCACCTGGACACCATTACCTGCCTACAGTCCAGCCTACTGCCAGCCCTTTTTGCTATTTTAGCAGCTTAGCTCATTTCCTCCTTGCCCTTGCATGGTCTATGATCTCCAGTGTGTTCCTGCCTACAACTCTCTCTGGCTGACTTGTTCTTAATTTTTGGCTCCTGACTACGCTGACTTCTGGTTTCCCGACCCTGGCTCGTCTGATTACCCGCACTGGCATCCAAACCCTGCCGTCTGTTTTGCCTATGTTCTGGATCTATGTTGTATTTCCTATTTCATTAAAGGTGTGATTTTAACTGCACTTTCTGTCTCCGCCTGGTTTAGGGTTCCTGACACTTCTCCACTGGCTACAGAGGAGTCAGACCAAATTTACCTAACAACATATTTCCTAACTAAGAGGGTGCTACACCAATAAAAATTGGTTAAACGTGGTTTAAATTGCCATATGCACGATCGGCTTAAATGTTCGGTCAAAGCTGTTTACATGTTAAACTTAAATAACTATATTTAGAGCCGCTGGGCAGGACTGATAAAGATGGAAGAGGATGCAGATTTTGCTGACGTGGCATAATAAAAGAGCGGAATCGTATCTGACAAGCACATTGACAGTTGTGCAATTCCTTACAGACAATTTCTGTTTTCTTGTAGGTTTACATAATGTTGCTCAGGCAGCACTCAGGAAACACTGCAAAAAAAAAAAGGGGGGGGGGGAATTTAGATTTTGCTTTGTGTGGCAGTTGACGGAAATATGTTCAACAGATATCCAACAGAGAATGTGTATTCCTGATGAGCTATTTTTTATCCCGATTTTATGTTTATTTTGCAAATGGTGCAATGCATTCTTTGAATAGTGTCGGGTGCTAGGGTGTTGGATCCTGCTGCCTTGGATTTAGGGTTAGGCTGCATCTGTTGTCTGGGCACTTGCTGTTGGTTCTTTGTCCTAAAGTACTGGGATTCATGCACGCTGGTAGAAAAAATGCAGCTTTTAAAGGCGTCTGAATTTTTTATTTTTTTTTTAATTCCTCTGAAAACAACTCTAGATTATTCAATGTGCACATTGTGTCATTTACAGGCATATTCTAGAGCAGCAAAATGCTCCAAACCTGCGTAATCTACTCGCATAAGCGCATATCTAAGAGGCAGGGTCGAGACAAGGGGTGAGCAGGAGGGGAAGCTACCCTGGGCGCTGTGTTATCATGTGATGGGGGCAGGGGGCACCGCTTACAGAGTTCCTGCAGCTACAAACTGACAGGAGTAGTGACAGCGGCATCACTACTTCTGTCAGCTTAGGGCAGAAAGTGACAAGCAGAATCAAGAGAGCAGAAGAGATTCGGGAGAAGCTGCGGGCTGTGCTCTCTCTCCTCTCCAAGTTCCCCCTCCTGCCACTGCAGCGCTCCTACATCTGGACTGTCAGATTGGGACTGAACAAGGTTTCCTTACCTGCCCCCATCTCATTCCAGCAGGTAAGGAAACACTGGGGGTCAAAGATTTGTGCTGGGAAGGGGGATTTCAGCAGAGTGGGGATTTGTACTTGAAGCAGGGGGCATTTTTGTTTGGGGAGAATTTTGGCTTGCAAGGGAAATATATGCATAGAGGGTTAACATTCAGATTAGTGCTTGATTTTTTTTTAGGGGGGGGAGTTTGCTGACATAAAATGCTCATACGTTTTGGAGAGGCACAGTATGGCATTTTTGCCCTGGGCACTAGTCTAATCCCGCCCCCCCCCATTCCAGTCTTGGTAGAACACTGTCCCTCCTGCTGAGGGTGAACCCTCCACCATATTGTGCCCCCACTCTATGCCAGAGGCCTTCACTCAACATTCCCGGCCATTGACCTTCATATCCCTAAAGAAAGGAATGTCTACACATAAAAGCTGTTTTGCTGCACTATACTGGTGGAATTCATAGAATGGTATAACAGTAACATCACAAGGACATATATTTTGGTGTCACTTGACATCACATAATCAATCACATTTAGTGGCAGGTCTGCAGTAGTCACATGTGAAAGCACGTGCAGCACTTCAGCAGCCATCTCCCTACAGTATGGCTGTCAAACTCAATTTAATAGCGGGCCATATCAGCATTATGGTTGCCCCTCAAAGGGCCAGTTGTATCTGCAAGACTAGATGTCCAGAGCACCCCACCACCTCTTACATCAGAAGACAAGAGTCTAGAAGAGCTACATCACTTTGCACCCCCCCCCCCTCCCCTCACCTTGTGCTGCTGCTGGGACAAAGCTTGAAGCAGAGCTGAGAAGCAGGAAGTGCAGGGTCTGGAGGAGGACCAGAGGAGGGCTGGAGTCAGCTGCCGGAGTCTCCAGAATGCTGAGAGCAGGGGAGGTGGAGATAAGGGGGTGCTGGAGGCAAAGGATCTGTAGGAGGAGTTCTGTCCTCCTATCTGCTACCAACAGTTGAATCGAGGTTGGGGTGTAGATGACGGGGATACTGCAGTTGCAAGATAGGAGTGAGTCACATGAAATGGCCTGATTTGGCCCCCATGCCTTGTGCTTGACACTTGTGTCCTATAGTCTCTCCTCTGCCCAGGGTCATTAGTACTCACATGACTCACATGAGTGCAGGTCTACTCCTGCCCTGTCCATGGCCTACATGTGCTGTTTACATCTGCAGAGATGTGGGGTGTTTAGCTCCCATGCCCCAAGTGTTGATGTGCGCCTCCCTTCCTAACCTACAGTATACAGTATATGGGTGCTGTCTCACCCTTGACATCACTGCAGGAGGGCTCTACCTTAGGCTAGGTTCACACCTATGCAGTTTGCATTTGATCTGTTTCTGCAGTGCTTTTTGCGGTGCATTTTGCATTTTTGCACATGCGTTTTTGACGCATTTTTTATGCCTTTTTGTGTTTTTTCCCCAACTTGTTGCTGGGCAGAGTAAAACCCAAAACGCATCAAAAATGCACTACATGCATTTCTGCAGAGTCTCCATTTAAGTCTATTGAACCAAAACGCAACGTTTTGCATTTACAAAAGGTCCCTGAACCTTTCCAAAAAATGCACTGGGTGAAAGCATGGAGATGTGAACGTGTCCTATAGGAAATCATGTTAAATTGCAGAACGCACCACAAAATGCATAGGTGTGAACCTAGACTAACACCTGATTACACTGTCTGCTGTAAGCACTATTCTGGTGGTACAAGGCCACCTAGTGGCGAAATAGCTAATTGCACCTGCCTAAACACCCATTGCAAGTAAATTTATTCCAGTGGCCAGCATAAATAAATATTCCAGCCAAAAGAATAAGTTTGCACTCATGAGCTTCTAAACACCATATGCATGTAAAGGCGCATAAATGCACATATATACACGTATATACTCATGTACATATGTGACATTGGTGCCATTTTTTTGACAACTTCTGGCATCATAATTTAAGGATAAATTCATATATCCGTATGCATGTAGCCTTAAAGTGGTTGTAAACCTCTTGAAATACAAACAAAGCATATCCCCCAAATTTTCTAAAAAAGGGCTAGTTTACCAACCTTCAAACTTTAGGGGGGGGCTGGACATTGGTCAGTGGGAGAAGAAAATGTCCTGATGTCAGTGGGAGTAAACAATGTCCCATCTTTGATGTTAGGGGGAATAGTGCCCCATCATTGGTATTAGGGGGAGTAATAGTACCCCATCATTGGTATCAATGGGAGGAATAGTGCCCCATCATTGGTATCAATGGGAGGAATAGTGCTCCATCATTGGTATCAATGGGAGGAATAGTGCCTCATCATTGGTATCAATGGGAGGAATAGTGCCCCATCATTGGTATTAATGGGAGAAATAGTGCCCCAGCATTGTTATTAATGGGAGTAATAGTGCCTCATCATGGGTATTAGGGGGAGTAATAGTGCCCCATCATTGGTATCAATGGGAGAAATAGTGCCCCATCATTAGTATGAATGGGAGAAATAGTGCTCCATGATTGGTATTAATGGGAGAAATAGTACCCCATTGTTAGTATCAATGAAAGGAATAGTGCCCCATCATTGGTATCAATGGGGGAATAGTGGCCCAT